GAAATCAACGAGGATGACTGTGGTATTATCGGTGACAACGAATGTGATGAAGCCCCAGACAACGAAGCCCCAGACATTGAAGCCCCAGACAACGAAGCCGTCCCTATGATGAAGCAGACGATCATGGTGGTATCGAAGAAGAAAGAGATCGCGATTTGACTGTCTTCTTCGGAGAAGTAGCTCAGAATGATGATTGTGAGAATGTTGAAGATAGTGGGGACAAATGGTATTATTAGGAGAATGAAATAGAAGTTCCGGATCCTCTATCATCAGATGATGAAAATGAAGAACAATCAATTCCCAGATTAGCTCTACAGAGAAGATGTGGATCCAGAGGCAATGCTTGGACTGGGAAACACTTTCTCGACTGCTGAAGAATTCAACCATACCCTTTCTCAGGTATACATTAAAAACCCGGCGTAACATCAAGCTTTATCGGTTCACTTCTTTGAAGTTAGGTGCAAAGTGTGAAGATAGGTCGTATCCCTGGAGGGTTTATTGTTCGTATGAGAAGAGCAAACAGAAGCTGATGATCAAATGTTATGTGAATGAGCACAACTGTGAGATAACATGACACTAAATTTTTTTTGAAGTGTTCTACTATAGCAATGCTGTTCGATGAGAGGCTGAGATTGAATCCGAAAATGACCAAGCATGAGATTGCTGCTGAGATCCAGAGAGAGTATATGATGTTTGTGAGTGTGAAAGCTTGTGGGAATGAAAAGAAAAAGGTTATGAAAGAAAGGAAAGCAAGCCACGAAGAACACTTCAACAAGATATGGGATTACCAAGCTGAGATTTTTCGAACCAACCCTGGCACTACAATGGATATCAAAACCATCCTTGGACCGACAGTAGGAAGTAAACAGAGGTTTTTTCGGCTATATGTTTGCTTTCATGCACAGAAAGAGACTTGGAAGACTACTTGTAGACCAATAATAGGTTTAGATGGAGTATTTCTAAAGTGGGACATATAGGGTCATCCCTTGGCTGTTGTAGGGTGTGATGGAGACAATCGGATTGTTCCTATTGCATGGGCAGTAGTAGAAGTGGAGAATGACTGGTTTGTGAGACACCTCGCAATTGACTTGGGCTTAAAAGATGGCAAAGTCTATACTATATTGTATGACAAACAAAATGTAACTGTCTTGTCTTGATTTTTTAAAGCTTTTAGTGCTTAGAGCATTACTGTATCTTAGTGTTTTTATCTGTCTCATGCTTGTAATTGGCAGGGTTTAGTGAAAGCAGTCCACACCATTCTTCTAGAGGTTGAGCATAGACAGTGTTGTAGACACATTTTCAATAATTGGAAGAAAAGCCATGACATGCAGCTACAGAGATTTTGGCGAATAGCAAGGAGTTATACAGCTGGAGATTTTAAAATGTGGAGTGAGAGGCTGAAAGAGTACAATCCAGGCGCATATGCTACTCTTCAAGTCACCAAACCAGAAACTTGGTCCAGAGCATATTTCAAATTAGGGACCTTGTGCAATGATAATCTGAATAACCTAAGTGAGTCCTTCAACAGAACCATCCGTGAAGCAAGAAGAAAGCCACTATTGGAGATGCTAGAGGATATAAGGAGACAATGTATGGTTCAAAATGTGAGAAGGGCTTTAATAGCTAAAAATGCGAAGACAAAGTTCACAAAGATGACGCATATTCAGATGGCTAAAATGAAGTCGAAGTCTAAAGATTGTATGAGCTTTCCAGCAGTTGGTCCAGTCACAAAGGTTGATTATGGTGGTGTGGCTTATGATGTAGATATGGATGAGCGAAGTTAATACAATCCTTAGAGATTGTATATTTTTAATCTGTGGCAGCTGCACCCCTTTTATTTAGTAGAAGGAAGGTGTATACCCGTTAGATAGATCTGTAGTGACTCCGCAGCTTGGGAACGAGCTCCTCTCAGCCGCCAACCATTTCCATCACAAGCGTCAGCCACTGTTTCGTACAGAGGAATAGATAGTTGTCGAGGTCCAGTATTACCAAAGAGGTGATAAGCCAGCCAAGAAGGGGTCGACTCTCAAAAAATTTGTTGCAGAGTTTCCTAAGTTCAGGAGTGATCTCCATGTCCATGATCCAGCCTTTTTTGCATCAAGACTCAAGAAATTTTCATCACCTTTTTGTACTTCCTTATCCACGAATCTCAAAGGGATGGGTTTGGAATATAAAACATCCATATCAGCTTTAACAAAGCGTTTTGTTCCACATTGTAAAATCCCTAAACTCGAGTCCTCCTTCACACTTTGGCAGTTTGTATCCTATGAAATTTCGCAACCCCTTTCTCAGTAATATTTCCAGTCCATAGGAAGCGAGAACACAAGTTCTGAATTTGCTTTATGCATCCTTTAGGCACTAAAAAACATAAGTCCAGAAATTAATAATGGCATAAATGACTGACTTTATCAGTAGAGCACGGCCTGCATAAAATAGTTTCTTTGAAGACCAAGCCCTGAAGTGTCCTGATATTTTGAGAAGATTTATCAGTTAGGTTCTACTTAAACATGTTTTTATCCTTCCTCACATGAAATGCTTTCCAAGACCTTCTTGCCCTATCAGAGATAGATGATAATAATGCAGCTGTGTATATTGCTGACTGATCATAGTTGGTCTTATATGGTCTCGTTCTGCTTTTCATGTATATATACTATCTAGGGCTTAGGCTTACGTAATTGCATTTCTTTTTAATACGGAAGGGAGTATGCTTATAACACACTTTTCAGTTTTTAATCTGAACTTAAACATCATATTTTGCTTAAAATCTCTCTTGATACACATGCAGATCTATGGGGTGTTGTGCTATATTATTTCAACTTGAGACACGCAGAATCTCCTTTTTTTTTATTGGAAGCAGCCAATTTCAGGTTTTGTATACCAACAAGTGTCATAAATTGCTAAGATATTTTATACCAACAAGTGTCATGAATTGCTAAGTTCATGTTCGTGTTCGGTTAATGCATTATTTTGGCTAATTGGAAAAAAGGAGAAAAAAAATTGGATTAATACATTTTGAAATACTGTAATACCATTTCCAAAAGTTAAATCTATATTTTTTCTTTCAAAATAGAGTAACACAATAATATAATTGAGTTCTACCCCCATTGACTAGATATCACTCGCATAACTGCGTGGATTTTGTGTTCATTTTTATTAGTACGTTAGTCATATATTTAATGTTTATTAAACTATTATAAACATAATAATTTTATATTTCCCATGTTAATAAAAATGTTTTAATTATTTTTTATTATATATTTATTTTCTTGGATTTGCATTTGATTATTAAATAAACTAATATATATATATGAAAAATCCTGTTTGGAAATTATTTTTATATTTAATTTATACTAAATTAGCAAAATTTTATATTTATTTAGATAATATAGTGTTGTATATTTACATGTTTATATGTTAGTTTTATACATGTATTATATAGTTAGTAATGTTAACATGTTCTAACAGCGTATTATATTTTTAACATTAATATTTTCTATTTATGAAAATAAAATTGATTAATTTATCTATTGAATAGAATTTTAGTATAATATTTTTTTAATATGATACATTATGATTTTATAAAATATATAATTTTCATTTATTTTATTTTATAAAAGATAACTATATATATATAAATGTCTAATTATATTGATTACTAATTCAAAATTGGTGATATATTTACATAATTTAAAAGTTAAGGTCTTGTTAAAATCTTTTAACAAATATTTTTTAATTTTGAATATATATTTAAAAGATATTATGATTAAAATAGTTATAAATATTTTATTATTAACATTTTAAAATATATTTAGTAAAATTTTCTAGTGATGGTCAGAAAAAAATCACACATTAAATGAGTCAATACTCTATTTTAAAATAGATATTATATTTTAGAGTGAAAATTAGAATGTAAAAACAAAAAAAAAAAACAACTTCCTCTATATATAGCGTAAATTTATTTTTTAAATAGAGTACCATTGAAATACATTAACTCTAAACTATATTTTATAGTGAAAAATCGAATAAATTTGGAGATATTTTAAGAACGAAAATAATTTAGAACTGGGGTGATACTTTTTGAAATCGCTACTCACTAGCAACAGACAGCACAGCACAAAACTTATCAACTAATCATGCAGAAGAATTTGCATTTATTTTTGTCGTGCATGTACAAGAGAACCATCAAGATGACGGAAGATATGATCATTAGAAAAAGCAGAAGCATGGAGAAAAGATAAGAAAAAGAACACGTTAACCAATAGGACTAATCATTTTATGAAACGGCTGTGAATTGGTATTGGCCTGTAAAGGAAAATGATAGAAACTATTTTAAAAAGATATAATTAGTCTATCTACCAAAAATGTAAATTGTTTTATACACCATAAAAGTATTCAATAGAATCTTTGGTCGATTGCTTTTCTTCTCATGATTATGCCTTTTGAGCAGTAAAAAGGAGAAACTTGCTAGCTAATCACTTGACAAATACGTTTTACTAATTTTTTTGTTTCTTTTTTTGAAATTGGCATTCTAATACTTTTTACTAATTACAAAACGAAATCGATTGATTCATCTAAAGCTCGTTTGATCCATTTGAAATGTTGTTTCGATCGTTAGTGTATGCTGATTAACGGCTATATAAACTTGACTTTTGAAGTTGATCAATTGTATTCTGAACGTAACATGAATTTTTAACGATATAAACTTGAGGGAATACAAGATTCGTAGTTTCACAAAAAGAAAAAAGATCTTTTATCTTTATCTTGAGCTTAGTAATAATATAATATTATCTTTAGCTAGATCGAATGTGTTCCTGGGACCCTCACACAGTCTTTAGTTATCTGATCGTCGAATCAAAAAATCGTCTCATTCAATATCAACGGCTGCGATCAATTTACAGTGTACACCTTTTTTTTTTTTTGGGGCAAAACAGTGTACACCTTTTCATCTTCTTTAAAACATGTCAGTGAAGCAAAAAGCTTCCAAGCTAAGCCGACAAAAAATGGCAGAACTGTTTCGTTATATCACTCCAGTGATCGTAGTTATGCTTCTTCTCTTCTCTATCACACGTGCTGATTTACCAGGCACGTGGGAGTTCATCGTACAAGACGCCGGTATAGCCTCCATGCACACGGCGGTTACCCGGTTCAACACGGTGGTTCTTCTCGATCGGACAAATACCGGACCATCCAGAAAATCTCTTGGCCGGCACCGGTGCCGGAAAGACCCATACGACGCCGTTCTGAAACGTGATTGCTACGCTCATTCGGTTCTATTTGACCTTGGTACAAACCAGATCCGACCACTGATGATTCAAACCGACACATGGTGCTCTTCGGGTCAGTTTTTATCCGACGGTTCTTTACTTCAAACGGGTGGGGATAGAGACGGGTTTAAAAAGATCCGGAAATTCGAACCGTGTGACCCCAACGAGACGTGCGACTGGGTGGAGCTCCAAGATACTGAGTTAATAACCGGCCGCTGGTACGCTACTAACCAGATATTACCGGATGGTTCGGTTATCATCGTCGGAGGGAGAGGAACCAATACGGTTGAGTATTACCCTCCTCGCGCAAACGGCGCCGTTCCGTTTCAGTTCCTTGCTGACGTGGAAGACAAACAGATGGATAACCTCTACCCTTACGTTCACCTCCTCCCCGACGACGGCGGAAACCTCTTCGTCTTCGCCAACAGCCGCGCCGTCAAATACGACCACCGTACAAACACCGTCGTTAGAGAGTATCCGCCTCTAATCGGCGGTCCTAGGAACTATCCGTCGGGTGGATCATCGGCGATGCTAGCGATCCAAGGCGATTTCTCCACGGCGGAGATTCTAATCTGCGGCGGAGCTCAATCCGGCGCTTTCACCGCGCGTGCCGTCGACGCGCCGGCGCATGGAACCTGCGGTCGAATCGTCGCCACCGCGGCGGATCCGGCTTGGGTGACGGAGGAGATGCCGTTCGGGAGGATCATGGGAGATATGGTGAATCTACCGACGGGAGAGATTCTGATCATAAACGGTGCTCAAGCTGGAAGCCAAGGATTCGAAATGGGATCCGATCCGTGTCTTTACCCGCTTCTATACCGACCCGATCAACCAATCGGTTTACGATTCATGACATTGAATCCAGGAACCGTACCGAGAATGTACCATTCGACGGCGAATCTGTTACCCGACGGGCGTATCCTCCTCGCCGGAAGTAACCCTCACTACTTCTACAAGTTCAACGCCGAGTTTCCCACCGAGTTACGTATCGAGGCATTTTCTCCGGAGTATCTTTCGCCGGATCGAGCCAATCTCCGACCCGAGATCCGGGAGATTCCGCAGATCGTGCGGTACGGTGAGGTATTCGACGTGTTCGTGACGGTGCCGTTGCCGGTTGTTGAGACGATTCAGATCAATTGGGGAAGCGCGCCTTTCGCGACTCACTCGTTCTCTCAAGGTCAACGGCTCGTGAAGTTGACCGTTGGACCGTCGATACCTGACGGAGAAGGACGTTACAGGATTCAATGTACGGCTCCACTTAACGGCGCCGTTTCTCCGCCAGGGTATTACATGGCATTCGCCGTTAATCAGGGGGTCCCTAGCGTCGCTCGCTGGATACGTATAGTTCTTTGATTAAAAACGAGGAAATATTTCGATTTTTAATCATTAATAATTTGTTAAATATGTTAATTAAAAAACACATGGATTAATATGAATATTTTTAATGGAAAACTTTATTTGGCCAATTCTAACCCGACAATGTTCATTTGGTTTGGTCGATGTTTTGATTTTATAAATTTATAATCAAATACAATAAAATTTGTTTTAAATTTTTTTTGCTAGGCTTTAGAGTAATAATTAACTTAATATATTATATATCAAATTTAAACTATATGTTCGAAAAAAATTATTTTTGGTTGGTTTATGATAAACACATTTTAATCTTTTTCTTACCATAAAGTTGAATTGCTTTTCTCAAACAAGAACACCAAACTATTCAAAGCAAAAAGAACATAAAAAGGGTGACCAATAGCGATGTTAAGTATACTTTGAAGTATTAGCTACCGAGGCCATCTCGACGTCATCGCCACCGTCAGCAACAGCCACACTTGATTGCACACTCTTGTAAGTATATCTTCTGGCTACAATCACAAAGAAGCATATATTTACAGCAGTCAAAGCGGCTAGCATCCAGTAAAAGCGGTCCAGGCGGCTGCTATTAAGATCTTTACCAAACCAGCTCTTCCCCGAGATTTTCTCGGCCAAATGATCACTAACCGTCATCAAAAGATTGTTGACAAAGCTAGCCGCTCCAATCACACTAAGGTAAAACGCTATGCCTAAACTTCTCATTGAATCAGGGACTTGGTCGTAGAAATACTCTTGAAGACCCACAAGGCTAAGTGGGTCTGCTATACCTATAATTATGAATTGAGGAGCTAACCATAGAGCACTCATAGTCATGTGATGTTGCTTAGTATAATCCAATCTCTTTCGCTCAACTAAAGCAGCAGCGATCATGGTGATTAAGGAGAAAACCATACCGATCCCTATTCTTTTTAGAATACTAATACCTCTCTCATTTCCTGTGACACCTCTTAAAAGAGGTACAAGGAGTCTCTCGTAGACTGTTAGGGAGATGATCATGGAGAGAGCTACGAGGGCGAACATGGATGATGGAGGAACTACAAAGCTGTGACCAATGTTTCTGTCCATGACAATGGCTTGTTTGATAAAAAATGTTGTGCTTTGAGTGGCGCAAATACCAAAGGCTAATGTAAAGAACCAGATTGGAATCATGTTGATAAGTAACTTAAGTTCTTCTACTTTTGTTACCGTTGCGAGCTTCCATGGACTCTCCTTCTCGGCCATAACATTCTCCCTTCCGCGGTTGTGGATAATGGCTGCTTTGTCTAGAAATCTGCAAACCGTATAGAAATTAGTTCCACGTATAGATGCTAAAGAAACCTAAATGGCTAATATATATCATAAATTGAAGTGTTTAAGCCAGAAAACAACCGATCTCTGATGAATAAATACAAAACTAAATCCAAATCGATTCAATAAAACAAAATATGATTATAACTAGATTGTGTATTTGAAAAACTTGAATTTAAATAATAACATGTAACAAATTTATCCGGCTTTTGTAGATCAGATTTTAGTTTGTTTACTACTGTTATTTAATGACCAAACCGAACCAAAACCGGAGTTGAACATATATATCTCTAGTTGTAACTTGAAGTTGTAATGCACTTACTTAAGATTATTGGTCCTGGAAAGAAGGCGTCCTTTTGTACACTCTTCTCTAGACAATTCATGAAGAAGAGCAGAATCATTGGGACAAGGAAGATGTCTTTTGGCTATGGCAGCAACAAAGACTTGCAACACAGGGGTCAACGGGCTACCCGTAGGTGCACGATAACGATAGAACGGTGTACCAATAAGAAAGATCAAAAGCGATGTAGCCATGACTACGGTGAGTATGATACCAGCCACACCCCAACCAATACGGTCTTCTATATAGACGATGACAGTCACCGCAGTTAAAACACCAGCGCAAAGACCTGCGCTCCACCAGTTAAAGTAAGACATTTTCATCTTACGTTCTTCAGGATGGTCATCTTCGAATTGGTCAGCTCCAAAGCTCTCAAGGGATGGCTTATGACCTCCAGTGCCTATGGAGA